TACAAGGCACGCATCTTCATAAACCATCGGACTTCGACAACCGGAATGCTTAATTATGACAGTTGGCCATTTTAACTGATTTGTAATCATGGAACCATTAAACAGTAAACATTTTCTTGTAGTTAATTGTTATATTTTTTAATCTAAACACGCTTAGGCTTATCATTCGCGTCGTGGTGTCATATTGACATTCTTATGTTGAAGCCTGCCGTCTGATTTCTGTGGCGTCATTTCATTCACATCATTTCACGAACGTGGACCTCTGGTTTCGCTTTTCCAACATAATTTTCCTTCTATGGCAGCATACTGAATTGTGCTTACGTGTGACATTTTGATTTGAAACTCAAACCTATTACTAAAATCTGTTATAATGGTGTCAGATAGGAACAAGTCCCCACCTTTTCGACTGCAGTCGACAATCGATTTTGCTCCCTATCAAAGGCGCATAGGCTTTCTAGTCCCGGGTGTGTGTGTGTGTGTGTGTGTGTGTGGCTTAGTATCTGTAAACTAACTTCACTCTGCCTTCAGCAATTGCGTTGAAGACAGAGTTTAAATGGCGGCTGGCAAGTGAAATGAAGTAGCAGGCGGGTTTTAGAGAAGGAAAGTTGAGATGTTCACAGTACCTTTAAATGGCAGGTTTTCCCCCTCCATTTTAATTTTGAGGATATAGTAAGTGAAGATTCAAACGTCTTTCAAGTTATCTTTAAAAATAAAGTCTTAAATGAATTTTTAAGAAAATCAGATTGTTACAAAAATTTTCAGCATAAATATATATATATATATATATATATATATATATATATATATAGACTCCCGTTTGTTTTGGATGTAACATATGTTAAATTTGTTCATTGTAGGCTTTATTTGAATGAGTGTTTTGAACATTTAGAAAGTTTTAAAATATAAGTAGTTCAATAAATTTAAATATATATTTGGTTGGATTATTTTCTTAAGATGCTTTCTATACCTGAAAGTTAAATTTATAATTAACGATGGAAATTTCACACTAATTTATATACCTCCTTAACGTTCCTTCACATTCTAAATAACAAAATTTCAAAGAAAATACATGCCCTCCATACTGCATTTTATTTTTTCCAATTTGTACTCCGCCACGGATTCTTGGACAGAATTCAGAGAGAGGTCTAAAGTTATTTTGTATTAATTTTTTTTAAAAACGTAACTTACTCATTACTTTCTATTATTTTGTATGTCTACTGCGGAAAACGTTGGTAAATATTTAGTTATAGTTCTTTGTTTACTATCGTGTTTAACAATTTTCTCTTAGGTTCCTTTCATTTAATTATCGACCTTCGAACCGAGTAGTTGGCACTCCTGCTCCTCATTGGGAAGGCTCCGGTTTCAAATCTTCATACAGAGATTGCTCTCCCGAGGTTTCAGTAGTCAATTAGACTACCATTGCTTCTTTGCATATCCGTTCCATTTCACGGTTCATTCATCATTCCATAATTCGACGCTGTTTTGAAGCGCCACTGTCATCATCGTTAAATAAAACATAAAAAATTGTACTCGGCAGTTATTTTACATATTTTATTATTTGGTTTATGAACTCATGCATAAATGGAGGTTATATTTATTTTTATCTGTAAATGACTACTTAACTTTACTGAAATGAATATAACTTTGTATTTTATTAGATTATAATTTTGTGGGAATTGTTGTAATCATTTCACAAGCTTCGAATTAAATACGAGTCAGCAGTCACCATTATGATCGTAAGTCTATGACAGCCATGTATGACCCCAATAACTTTCAGCGACATCGAAAATTTCCACCACAAATCCTAACGCTTTAATTATTAGTGCATTAGTTGCTAAGCTTCAGTGACATCTCTACGAGGGTTTGCCGTTTCATCAGCTGAAAAGGGACCAACTAAAACCATGTTAATTTAAAACGGATTACTTCCGGATATAGTATGTAGTATCAAGAAAATCTAATTACTTTGTCAAAGTGGTTTTAACTATATATATATATATAAAGTCATATATATATATATCATGCACACACACACACACCAAATATTAATCATAGAGATTTTACATCTCTGTAATTAGACATAGAAAGACTGTGTAATATGGAGCGTTGAAGTATGTTCAGGGTAGGAGAATCAGCGGAAAGTGGCCCTAATTGGGGATATAGTCCTAGACGTAGGGAACGGATTTATCTTTGATTCTCTATATATTTATGACAGTGATTGAGTCATTACGCTAGCATTATGCCGAACACTGCGGTCTAGTGATATATTAACGTGCGTTAAATGATAAACTGGATCGCATCTGTGAGGGGGACGTCGTTTCAGCATCTCTTATATTACGCAATTTACTCATTACTTTCTATTATTTTGTATGTCTACTGCGGAAAACGTTGGTAAATATTTAGTTATAGTTCTTTGTTTACTATCGTGTTTAACAATTTTCTCTTAGGTTCCTTTCATTTAATTATCGACCTTCGAACCGAGTAGTTGGCACTCCTGCTCCTCATTGGGAAGGCTCCGGGTTCAATTCTTGAAATTTATTTATTTAAGTTGATTAAAATCAGTACACGATTTGTATCGGTAATTTCTTGTAGTGCTTGGCAGTCAGTCATGCAGCTCCTGCTGGAAACCGAGAAGTAACAGTTGCTTTCCGGTTTGTCAGCGATCTCTATGAACTCTTGTTTGAAACGGTCTAGCCGAATAAGAAAGCCATTCGTTTTATTCGTTTGTAGGTTATGTTATGGAGTGTACTGGGTGTCTTCTGCGTGTACTGTAGTGAGCTAAGTTCTCACACAAAGAGTGGACGCATCCGTTCCAATTTTGGTTCTTTCGTGAAAATCTTGGACGGATGTTGTATTTACAAAAACGTGGTTTGGTTTATAACCTCAGCTTAATATGTTGCTCGAATCGAACTTTATCGATTATTGCCAAGTAATGCCGTGTATAAAACAAATTAAGGTTAGAGTCTATGTTTGTAATGATTTAAATACAGATAACTTCTGAATATGTCCAGTGTGATATCCATGATGGTGATTCCTTACTTTATTCAGAATAATGTAACGTCGAGGCAAATGATGTAAGAAAATAGCAAAGAATATTTTTTTTGGAAAATATTATTCCACATTTATTATACTATTCCACCTATTTTATCGTATTTTGACACAGGTAGAGCGATAATATTAAAATTGATTTTAAGGAAATGGTTTGGGAAAGATGTGGATTGGATTAATCTGTCTCAAGATAGGGGATAGCGACATATTGTTCTGAACACGGTAATCCATCGTGCCGTTTCATACAAGGCATAAAATTTCTTGGGCTTAGCGAATTTTTGCTTCTAAATACGAACTCTGATCTGTGTAGTTACGTACTTAAATAAGTGAGCTAGTTTGTATATTATCTTACTTTTCCGTACGTTTTCCTCACTCCACTTCTTCACACTCTCACCAGGCGTTTTCATACAACAGTAGCGCTGGGAAGTTCCATTCGGGAGGTACCAGGTTCGAATCTCTGATCTTTTCCCGCCTGTCGTTACAAAAACCTTTCGTGATTTCCTTCATATTCTCTTCAGACGATTGTCAGGCTAAGCTGAAAGCCGTATCCAAACGTGAAGCAATTTACCGTACAATGTCCTTCTGTTGCAGCCAGTTGGGATTTACCACAAGAAGTACGAGTGGGCGGGCGTCCAGGATTCCGGGGACTGCAGTCTCTGGGTCAGAGCTGCCACGCTTGAATTTGACAACGGCGAATGGGAGTGCCAGGTGACGGCGTCCGACTTCACTACCCAGGACGCCTTGACGTCATCACCGGTCAGACTCGTTGTGCGAGGTATGTACTTCTGAACCCGGGCACTTATTTGCTATTTTTTTTTCGATTACCCAGTAAAATTTGTGGGCCTTAGAAATAAATCGGCAGCTAAGGGTCAACATTTCGATAAATTCCATTTATTTATTTATTTTGTTTAATAGGAAAATGAACCCTAAAGGCTCCGTTGAGTTGTGCGTAGGATATGAGAGGCAAGGGGTAGGGCAGTTTGGTACATAGGCTGTTACTCAATGGTAAAGACGTTGCTGTCATTTAATTGAACTCGAAAATTTATTTCCATCTTCTCAACGGTCAACAGCTTTAACCATTCCCGATTCAAGTGAATTGAGTATACACCCTACATTAAATATTTATTTCAGTATTATCCTCCCATCTGCTCTTAGGTCTCTCTGCTAGTGTTTTCTGACCAAAATTTTGGATGAATTTTCCCCTCTCATTCCTTGCATTTTTCCTCTTCCTTAATGTATTAATCTGCTTTATAATGACAGCAGACTAAAGGCTTAATCCAATAAAACAGTTAAAGCTGATATATATTACGAGATATGTATCCTCGCTTGTAGTCGGGTTACACAGTTCCCACGTGTTATGTATGACCCTTTCAGCCAAATATTTTTCGATTAGTAAAAGGAGTGTTAAAGCACATCCGTGTAGCGAGAAACTCTTAGGATGTTTCTACATGTGTGACATTTAAAACGCAACCTAACAACACAGATGAAATCAAAGGATGACACCCATCTGTGATATTGCGCAGGTCGATCGTCGCCCTGGTGATGGAGGCAGTAAGCTCCTCTGAAACGTCGTTCAACTTTTGCGGTGTGACATGGCGCAATGTGACAGAAAGCTGTCATCTACGAGGTGCGATCGGAAAGTTTCAAGACTGTGTCAATAGAGGGCGAACCGGATGTAG